TCATCATCACTGATTTTCACCATTGTCACTGATCTTCATCATTGTCAACAAATTTTACATCCACCAACATCTTTTCCCCTATCAATATGTTAAAATTATTTTTGTATTTTGTTATATTTCTTATATGGTTGTATGTGGTACAAATTCTTTTGTATTTAATAACAATTGTTTCTACTTGGTATGAAGAAATTGTTTTTATTTGTATTTTCTCTTTTTATGCTAGTGCATTTAGTGTAGTTGTTTGTGGCTAGATCAATCTATTTTTTACAATTTGTGTAAGTTTTAGTGCATTAATTTAGGGGGAGACTCATATTATGTAATATTTTGAAATTTAAAAAAAAAACACACACACACGTACAATCTTAAGAGGGCGTTTGTATATTCAATGCATAATTTTAGGGGGAGTATATATAGTTATCAACTAATTTTTTTTTACTCCTTATCTGCATCAACAATTTTTTTTTTTATGTAGCAAAGACAACCAATTTTTTTTTTCAAAGAGAAATGTTTGTAATTTTATTTCAGAATGAGAAACTATTGCTCGATTACATGTACGATTTGAGAAGGCTTCATAGATTTTTTGTGTTTCACTTCTTTCAACAATTTTTCATGAGCCTCCTTTATATCCTTCTGTCTATTTTCGACTTTTGTGAGTCTTGGCATTATAACTGTTGCATAATATTGCATCACATTCTCCAACTAAGAATTTTTCCTTTCTAATTCTCTCTTCCCCTGACGAGTATTTGCTAGCTGTTGTTTTAACAAGCTCACATCGTCTTTCCATTGTTGATTTTCTTGTATTCTTGCTTGTAGTCGTCGAGCTATATTAGAAACCGCAATCATCGCCTGTGTACTAAGAGCCATAGTGTTATTAATAGCATCGATATCATTCTGATTACCAAAAACACTAGGACTCTCATTTATTGGAATAGCATGCGAATGCACTATTGGTAACCTCTCATTTGCCTGCATTACAAGCACTTCATGCATGTCAGAACCATTGATGGCTAAGGTAAAGAATGACATGTTTTCACAGACCGTAAACAATTTTTTTCTCTAAGAACACTTGAAGATTTAGTATCTCTACATCTCATCTATGTCACTTTTTATACACTCCACCGATCCAATACTCGATGCATATCTGCTCAAATCTCTTATTTGTCAACCTTTTGGGCGCCGTTGCACCATTTTTCAAGAGATGCTACAAAATCCCCACAATGATCACGAAAAAACATAAGAACCATTATTATATTTTTGGTAAATCGGATTCTTTTCTCAAATGTGTTTGTTTGATTTTTGTTTTGGTCACTGAAAATTTTATTCTCTCTAAAACCTTCTTATCTTCATATTTTATTTTGATGATGTCAACGGGAGAGAAAAATATGATTTTGATTTGTTATGCATGTGCTACTTTAATTATCAAATATCTTATGTTGCAAAGTAATCAAATATTTTGTTGATTTTAATTTTGTGTCAAATCCATACATATATTGCCATCATAAAAAAAGGAGAGATTGTAAATCATGTTATTTGATTTTGATGATGTTATGGGATAAATTGCTATTTTTTTACTATACATATTTTATATTGTTTGATACAAACTATTATCTGCTTAAAATATATATTGTATGATAAAAATATTTTGAAAATTTTACTATTCATGTTTTGAAAAACTAGGCTGATCACTATTCATCTTTTGACAAATTTAATGGGTTATTTTCTTTTGACAAATTTGATATACTCACATGGGGTGGTAGGTTATTTTTTAAAAAAGTGTATTTAAAATCTCGTCAACAACTACAAAGATTATAAAAGATGTATATATTTTCATATCTATTATAAATGTTATTTTAAATATACTTAAAGAGATTTTATTGTGCAATTAAATATTTTATTAGAAAAATTACTATGCAATTACTATACAATTTTTGATTGTTCGTTGTTTTGAAGGGAAAATTTAAACATTATTCATTTGTTAAAAAGTTGAAAAGTTGTATATACAATAGTGATCACTTATATTTTTAATGTTTTGTAAGCCATAAGCTTGGCATCTAACATAGAAAAGAAAAAGGAAATGTTTATAGTATGCTCCATGCAAATTTTGAATATAAAGAAGAATGGTCTTATGCTCCATATGCTCAAACTACTAAGTCAAAAAGGAGGAGTGTGCCCACGTGATCCATGATGTCAGCAAGGAACATTCTATCTCCAACGAGTATATTTTTCTGCATAAATAAAAGTGTTTTGTACAAAGAAGAATCAAGAACTTGAAAAGAAAAAATTTGTGTGCCCCAAACTTTTGAGTGTATTTTATACTCTGCTATTTCACTTTCAGATCTAAGTGTTGTCTTTGTTCTTACACTTTCATATCTATTATTTGTGAGAAAATTACTGTAAAAGAGGGTTAAAATACCTTTTATCTTTATTCATTATTTTGTGAGAGAATTTTGTAAGAGTGAGGCATTTATTATTGAGTGAAGCTCAATAAATAAGAGTAAGATATGTGTAAAATCCACAAGTTTGGTAAAACTTTGGTGGTGTATTGATTCCTTTTGGTAGTGAATAAATTCTGAAGGAGGTTCCTTGGGGAGTGGACGTAGGCCCGGCGTGTCGAACCACTATAAATCTTAGTGTTTGATTTTCTCTCCCTATCTCTCTTACTTCTATATTAATAATTATTGTTTTATTTTTTTATTTGTTAAAATTTAAATAATGTGCTTATTATTTTTTTAATATTGTAATTTTTTTTAATAACCCAATTCACCTCATTCTTAGGTTGCCTACCTGGGATAACAGGTATGACAATTTTGCTTGTAGCATCTGTATCAATAAAATATTAAATTAATTAATTAGTTAATTTTTATACGATACCTAAATAAAAAACTAATATAATAAATGAAAATGAAATCATACCATATCAACTTGAGACATCCCACTTGTGTGAAGATTTTTGACTTGCGTTAAACACCCCTGAACTTTATTGGAACATTTCATGATTATACCCCATTGAGATTGGATAGACACTTGTGTTCTTGACTGATCATTCTGAAGCAAGCAATAATTTTCGTAAATTCTCTCCCAAAAGTGAGCATATGATTGCAAATTGCCAACAATTAGGTCTTCACAAATGTGACACCAAGATTTACAAATTGCCACATCTTCATCAACGGTGAATGATTTTCCTCTGTTTATTTTTGATGAAGCTCCCATATTGATTGTGTAAATAAACTATAAAGAAAATAATTTTGGAGGTTTGTTGTGAAATGAAATTCAGATAAAGAGAGGAGAAAAGAAAAATAATATTTGAATTGTTTGCTGTGAAATGAAATTGAGATGAAGGATTTCTATTTATAGGAATGCCAAATATTTCCATTTGAAGATAATAGTTGTTGAAGATGACCGTTTGAAGATAGCTGTTGTTTGTACTTATTTTTGTTTTTTGAGACAAACAGAGTACATCAACTCTTTTCACTTCCAAGAATGATTACCACCGTCCACGTACAAACCAACGGTTGAGATGATTTCTCTAGAATCATCCAACCTATTATCTTTACATTCATTCACCGTCTGCACTTTCCCTCTCACTCTGACTCTGACTCTGACTCTCTTTTTCCCTTTTCCTCATCCATCATCGAAACGCCCTATTTCTTTCTGTGTGTCTCTGTCTTCACTATTTTTCTTACTCTCTCACTTTCCTCTTCCCTTTTCCTCTTCCATCATGGAAACGTCTCTCTCTCTCTCTGTGGGTCTTTGAGCTCAAGAACAGTATACTCTCCGATCTGTCATGGTGCTGTCTCTGATCTATCTCTAATCTGTCTCTCTCTCTCTGCCATCAAACCTCTCTGATCTGCCTTTCTCTCTCTCTGTTGTCAAATCTCTCCGATTTGTCTTCGATCTGACTCTCTCCTTCTGTCGTCAAACCTCTCCGACCTGCCTCCAATTTGTCTGTTTGTCTCTTTCTCGCTCTCTGGTCAAACCCCTCCAATCTCTCTCTTTCTCTCTGTGTCCTCAAACCAGTATACTCTCTAATCTCTCTCTCTCCTCTCAAACTGATCACCGAGTTCCGATCTCCAAAACCAATCTTCTCTTTCTCTATCCTCAAACTAGTCAACTGAAGAAGAAGCCCTTGAGGTCGATCCAGATATTTATTATCTAATTTCGTTTACGAAATTTATATTAATTTGTGAAATTGATTCTGAAATTTGATGTGTGATTTGTTTGTGTGATTCTAAAATTGATTTTGAAATTGAAATTTTTGTGATTTGTTTGTGTGGTTTTGAAATTTATTCTGAAATTTGTGTGATTGTAAAATTCTCAAATTTATTCTAAAATCGTGAAATTTATTCTGAAATTTATAGATTTATACTAAAATTTGTGAATTTGGCAACACCATTGAAATTTGGGTTTGATTATGAAATTTGGGAAGTTTTCTACTGTTTGAATTCTGTTTTTTCAACTGAATTTGAAGCAAAAAATCTGTTGATATTTGCTGATGTGGCATGTTTGGCAGTTACTATTCAGCTTGTTAAATTTAAAAATAGAAATGGCATCTGTTATCTTTGGCAAATAGAATAACAGGCATTGGAGACCTTTTTTATGTCACTCTTATCCAATTATAACTTTGACAAGTTTTTTGAAAGTTCTATTGGAAATGTTCTTAGACATAGCAATAGTAGTAGCAATAACGGGTTATGAGAGAGTTAAGGATGCCAATGATAGTGACAAAAACGAAAAAATTATAAATGGAAAGAAGGAGAATTGAAAGGGATTGGAACTGACGAAAATAGAGTTGGCGACAACGAAAAAGGAAAAAGAGAAGGAAAAGGAAAACATAATTGGTATTATTCACCGGAAGAAAAAAAAGAAAAGAAAAGATAGTTTGAGATTCTTTTGCAATTATTTATAATTCCAATGTTATTTCCTCAAAAATATTTTTATATTTATTTATTTATTTTAGTTATATAGTCCACTATTGGAGATACTGTAATTAGCTTATAGACTACTCCAAACTCGAAAAAAAATCTGAGTTGGTCTGGTCCGGTCCACAAAATGCACATCCACGCACCTCCCCTTACCATCTTCTGCTCATCCTTTACGCTTGCTTTTTTTATGTAGGGTTTCCGTTCCCACATCAATCTCTTCTCTCTCTCTCTCTCTCTCTCTCTACATTACCATGGCCGAAGAGGTACAGTACGCGGATTCAGCCACCAACAAGCGCAAGTACGACGACCAGACTCCTCCGCCGTCGTCGCGGCGGACCACTGGCTTTTCTGCTCCGATCTCCTCCCACTCGCCGGATTCCGCCAACGCTCTTTCTTCCTACAACACAGTCCCTCCGCCCGTCGACGATATCCAGCTCGCCAAGCAGCGCGCGCAGGAGATTGCTGCCCGCCTCTTCAACAACGCCGAAGCCAAGCGCCCTAGGGTTGAGAATGGCGCTTCTGCCTTTGATTCCAACGACAGTAAGGGTTTCTGCTCTGGTTCCCCCTTTGGTTGATTGTGATAGTTAAAACTCAATTGGATTGATTATATAGTATACACTAATGCCAATTTAGTTACTGATGAGTGTCCACTTTGGTTGATTTTGATTTTGATATTGATATTTCAAACTCAGTTGACGAAAAAAATTTCATGGTTGGCGCTAGAAAGATGTGGGTGTAGATAAATTAAGAGAGAATAGGTTAAAATGGTTTGGTCAGATTCATATGCAGGGTGGACAAAAACTTAATGTACTGAATTTAACTGAGCATATAGCACTTGAGCTGAATGGAGAAAAACTATTCATATAGCTGACCCAACTTTATTGGTACGCAAGACTTGGTTTGGCTTGGTTTGATTTGGTGCTAGAAATATAGATTGAGTATAGTAATACAAAAAATCAGTCGTAGGATTGGTCACAGAATGTATATGAATGTACCAGAGTTTTCAGAGTGGGTCCCTCCACCAAATTCTGTAAAATCCTATCTATCCATATGTGTTTCTTTGTTTGATGTCTGTGTTTGTAGCCGAACTAAGAAATATATGGTGGCTTCATATGGTGCATTTGTACTTGCTTTTTGCTAATTGGTGCCATAAATATGTGGCTTCATAAGGTAGCATAATCCCAGATCCCTCCAGCTTCTGTAGGGTGCAAATTTTTTTGAAATTTTTTTTTGGGTCCATGCATTGTTCTATGGGGGTTGTATTGTGTTTGATTAATTGGTTCAATTTTTATGTTCCTTTTTTCTCTCGTCTTTTTACTGCTTTTTCTGTTGTCTTTGGGGCTGAATGCCTATTATTCGTTTGAAGTTAGTCCAAGTCTTTGGTTATGAGATTTATTAAATGCAGATGCTGGACAGAAGCCTATGTTTTCAAATGTGGCCCCCTCGTCAATGCCGGTTTCATATGGGTACCAGGGATCAAGCAAAAGGATTGATGTACCGAATGGCAGGGTTGGTGTGATTATTGGGAAAGGTGGAGAAACTATCAAGTATCTTCAGCTTCAATCTGGTGCTAAGATTCAAGTGACGAGGGATATGGATTCAGACCCTAATTCCCCAACTAGGATGGTTGAGCTTGTGGGGACTCCAGATCAAATAGCGAAGGCTGAGCAATTGATACACGACGTTCTTTCGGAGGTACTGTGGTACATTTGTAATGTAAATAAGGAAATGACTCCTTTCTTATTAGGTAATAGGTCTACAGGTTTTTGACCATATTGAATTTAGCACGGGAGAGCAAGAGGGTTAAGAAATAACCAATTAACTTATGCAGTTGTGATGCATCTTTAAAGTAATGAATTTAACTGATCTTTGTGCTAATATATATATATTTTTTATGTTTAAGTCAGGCTGAAGCAGGGGGTTCTGGAATAGTTTCTCGGAGGTTGACTGGACAACAATCTGACTCTGAGCAATTTGTAATGAAAATCCCGAACAACAAGGTAAATGAAAACCGTTATTATGGATGACTAGCTAATTATCTGATACAAAGAACTCCCTGGATACACCATGATTTGATGTCTATCTTTATTCAGGTTGGTCTGATAATTGGTAAAGGAGGTGAGACCATAAAAAGTATGCAAGGCAGGTCAGGAGCTCGTATTCAGGTCTGTTGTTGAATGTTACATATCCTTCTTTGCTTTGTTCTATTGTTGTCGATTTAGTCCTTTTAACCTCATGGTTTCTTTGCTTAATTTTGGTAGTGTTGATTTAGTTTCTTTTAGTCTCATGGCATAATTGTCTTGGAAAGTTTGGCATTATTTCCTTTTCTTTTTTCATGTAAAATAACTTGTATTGGTTCAATTTTGAATTTTTATACTTGATTATATGTTAATAGTTATTGCATTATGGCTTTTGACTACGCTGTTTGTTTAATTCCATCTAGGTGATTCCTTTGCACCTTCCCCCAGGTGACCCATCAACAGAGAGGACATTACAGATAGATGGGACCAGTGAACAGATTGAGGCTGCAAAACAGTTAGTCAGTGAAGTAACCAGTGAGGTATGCTTGATTGTTGCAAAATCTTGCAGATTCGGTCTAATCAACACTAAGCTTGCACTTTAATTAGAAATAGTCAATTATAGTTGTAGTGAGTAACCGGGTAGTTGAGATATCATTACACTGAATTGCTGCATTCCTGTCTTTTTACTTTGTTATCACGAACATGGGGAATCCGCTTAGACGTCATTTCAGGATGCACATATTAGATTCCTTCTGTTTAAGAAGGCCATAATAGGATTGGTGATGCTATAATTTGCTAATTAGGATTTTGAAATTGTTATGAATTTAATTACATGATGTTCTGCTGAAGCATCTGTTCAGATCTATTTATTTGTTGATGACAATTCTCAATCCAAGTATTCTGTCCGAGCAATTTCTTCAAGTGATATCTTAGAAGTGACAGCATATTTTAAAATGGTCACCAATACTCGTATTGTGCAGATACAGCATATGATCTTTATCACAGGGTAAAAGGGTTTTATATTGAAGTTTGGGTGATTTTTGTTTCAAGAAATTTCCTTTTTTTTTTTTTTTCCCCTTTTCCCGTCTTTTTGGTTGTTTTACCATTTTATGTACAGATACTGGTCAATTTCCTTGTAAGGTTATAGCATGGAGGTCTCCATATTGCTTTTCTACATCATATTTCTGTTAGTGAATTGCAATATTCCTATGTTCTTACCTCTGTTGAATATAGTGAAGCAGTTTTGGGTCATCTGAGGCGCTTAATAATCTGGTTTTTAAAAATATTAGCTTTCTTTAGTCAATTTCCCTTCAGGGCTTCTTATTTTTATTATGATATTGGCTTTTTCTTTGATACTCCTATCACTTCCATGAAACTTTGCATTTGTTTTCCTCAAAGACTATATTGAGGTAGTGTGGAATCTTTGGAACTTCTTCATATAAATTCTGGCTTGCTTGGTTGCAGTTCTCAATTTTCATATTTTCCATGTACTAGAATTCTAGGGAATGCTAAATATCTTTCTGCTATATAAAGCACTGATGGTTGCTGCTATTGGTGGGCTATTTTAACCGAATAGGCACATATATGTTCTAATACCTAAACTTTTGTTTCTCTTTTTATTTCTAGTGTTTGTATCATTGATTTACAAATCTAGCTTTAGTATATTGTTTTTTTGTATGTCTGCTTTGATGGATATTGGCAAGTTTTGCAATATTTGTGCTCTGTTTTTGTGTACCTGAACTTGTAAACTAAGAGAAGCTATTCTTTTGTTTGTTGTTGAATTAGATTCTAGATAATTAATTTTAATACTCTTTAGCTTGTGGCCACTGCATGGTAGTGCTGTATGATATATATCTTTTGGTGTATATGTGGTGCTCCTTATTTGTTTCCCAGAAGTGGTGGACATCATCGTGGTGCTTTATCAGATCAGATTTCCATAGTCATTATTTCACATGTTGTAAAGTTAACTTTCCTTGATTTCTAAGAGCTTATTTCCTTTGGGTCTATATTCCCGTAAATGGTTATTTGGTTATTTGCAAATCCTTATGGTTGTATATAAATATATATAGTTGTCAATTGGTTTTCTTCTCTATATTCGTTTGATATGCTGAAGGTTGCAGAAGGATATGTTTATGTCTTGGTTGGTTGAGAGTATTTCCCGTGTATCAAAATGACCAAGGATGGAGGTATTGAGCTTCTATTGATGCTTATTCCTTGATGGGAGAGATTTCGTTACCTCTGAATTGGGTCTTCTGCGTCTTTCTAGTTGTGAAATAAGACCTGGTAGCACAGTAATTTGTACTGTTATGTACCTATCTGTTTTCTCGATGGTTGGAGTTGTCTTTTGTAGACTCTGCAGGATCATTGCACTTGTCACCAACACAGGTTCATTTCTACTTGAAGTTGGTTTTCATAAATATATTGGCTGGGGTATAAAATTGAGAGTATGTCAGGAGCAATTTTTGGTTTTGAATTGTCAATCTTTCAAGGTGGTGATAATTATTGATCTTTAAGATGTGCATAGCTATGTTGATTCCTTGGATATTGGATATATAAGGCAGGTTTTACATTATTCTTTTCCAACTAGGCAATTGGGGCCTATATAAGAGTGAATGCTATTGAGGATGTATCTGAATCAAGTATCTATGGCCATGTTGTTGAATGTTTCAAGTGAATAACTATCGGGATTGTCAATTGTTGTAGCCTCATGTGCTTCTTTGATGTGTATCTCATTACTGATACTGTTGCTGGGAACTATTGTAGGGTTAGTGGGTATTGGAGTATTGGTGACACCAACATGGAATCCTTAGTAGTATTGGTGTTTCCTCGGCATTGTTTTGGTATGGTTCTAAACATTATTTTTGGATAATAATTTATACCATTAGCAGAGGCAAGTTCGGGGCTTACGTTTGTTGGATATTTAACTGATTGTTTTGAGAGTGGATCATGAGTGAGTGTTCAGGATAATTTATTTATTGTATTTTTAAAAATGTTATATATGTCTGCTGGGCATTTCATAGAGATAACTTGAGCATTTAAGTTCCCATTTCTGCTTACATATTCACACACGCGCGCGCACAAAAAAAAGGAAGATTCTATCCATATCTATTTGGGTCTATTTTCTATGGTTTTATTTGATTTTGAGATTGGTGAGATTATGAATTTTTTTTTTTGCTTTTTTATGTTATTTGTAATGATTTGAATAATCTTTTATTGCTTCCCTCATGGTGGAACAAGCTTCAAGTTCTACTCATGCTAGTGCTGTAAATACTGACTATTGAATTTTAAACTGGTTATAAAGCTTATAATTTTATTTTTTAAGCTTGAACGGTACTGTTATTTCTTGGCTCTGTGAAAAATTGTTCGTCTGTCTTTTCAAATTTTTTTTTGGAAGTGATCTGATTTTTGTTCGTCTGTCTTTTCAAATTTTTTTTTGGAAGTGATCTGATTTTTGTTAAAAAAAAAAAAGTGTATCATATGCCCTAGTTATGACCTTTTGTGGTCTTCGGTTATGTTAGTTATGACTCGGTTATGACTCATTGTGGTATTAGTTGTGACTTAGTTATGACCTATTGTGACTATTATTTTGGTTATGATCGAAGAGGTCTTTGGTTATGCCTCAATTGGTGTTTGGTTATGATCTAGTGTGGTCCTGTTGGTTGATTAAAAGTGGTTTGGTTGACACAATGTGACATCAACGTCACAAAATGTCTTTATTTGTAAATGTTACACTCCTTTTTTAAGGTGTGTAGTGTAGAATCTTCCCTGTTTTACAGTTATTTTTATTTTGGACTGCATCTGCAATTTCTGTTTGCTCACAATAATTTAATCCTCTCCTAAAATATCATACCAGTCACTACTGGAACGTTAAGTTTTGGAAGGCTCAAGGATTTTGAGATTTTTGCCTGTCTCACTTTTCATTTGATATTTTGTAGTTATGCATGCCTATTACATCACTTTGTCACCCAGGTTATCTGCACCACGTAATTGATTTTTCTGGTCGCCATCAATTGATGAATTTTGAGATGTTAGCCTGTCATGAACTATGAAACAGCAGTGTGCTGTATTTATTTATTATTTTTTTATGAGCCCCTTTCTAGCTTATAATATTCTTATATTACTTTTGTGTTAGGCTTATTCTGTTAACTCATCATAATCCTGAAAGCACGTATTCTTGTGTGGAATCTTAAGTGAATTTAATTTAGATTGATGGATGGGTACTTTGTATGGAGTTGAAATTGGTCTTGCTTAAATTTTGAAGGCGGTTTATTTTAGAGCTTGTGTCTGCTTGCTTATGTTTATGTTTATGTTCCCATGTACTCAATTCTTCAGTAGCGCAGTATTATCTATTATTTTCAGTAGTTTTCTTCAGTAGCTCAGCAAGATATATCTTGGTGTAGCAAGTCTGCTATAAAACCCGTTGCCTCTTCATGGCAATGGGGTTTGTGTTATCTCTTCTTTTATGTGAAAACCTGTATAGTTCTTGCAATTTCTTTTTGTACCCATTCGCTTCAAATAGGAAGAGGATGAGCTTCTGCAGGAGTTGCTCAATAACACAATCAACCAGTCCGGTATGTAGGCGCCCAAACCCCTCTTGATAATATACATGTATCCTTCTTTAGTGATAATAATCTGACCCATGTGTGCTTGTCATGTTAATTCATAGGCAAGTTCCTTCCTCATTATGCATAAGTAATTTGTATTCTATTTTTGTGCCTGCCTGTATTTTACAGCATATGCTCTGTCTGGTTTACATGGTTCATATGAAATAAAAATTTTATGCAGAATCGGCCTAGAAATCCAGCAATGACTGGAGGATATTCTCAGCAAGGTTACCAAGCACGACCTCCGACTAGCTGGGCTCCGCCTGGTGCTCCGATGCAGCAACCTGGTTATGGTTACGTGCAGCCCGGCACATATCCTGGTCCATCACCACAGTACAACACATCTCAGCCACCATACCCTGGGTATCCTCCTCAACCAACATCAGGTGGTTATGCCACTGGCTGGGATCAGACAACTGGTGCACCAAATCAGCAGACCTCTCAGGGAGGTGGTTATGATTACTATAGCCAGCAGGCTCAGCAGCAGCAAGCCCCTGGTGGTCCCTCAGCCCCAGCTGATAATACGAGTTACGGTTACAGTCAGCCACCAGCTTCTGGCTATAATGCACAGGGGCAAGGTTATGCTCAGGATGGCTATGGTGGGTATACTTCAACTACTCCACAACCTGGATATGGTCAGCCCCAGCCAAACCCTATTCAGGGGTATGATCAGCAAGGTTATACTTCAGCTCCTGGTTATGGTAATGTGACTAACCCAACCTCAGAGAGTCATACACCTTCCTACGGAGGAGCTCCGGGGGATACCAGCCAAGTGCCTCCACCAGTCCAGTCGACTGCAATGGGCCAACAAGGATACAACACAACTCAGCAGCCTAGCCCTAGCCCTGCTAATTATCCACCTCAAGGATCTACTCAGCCAGGCTACGGAGTGGCCACTTCCCAACCTGGTTATGCGACTCAACCACCTTCTGGATATGGTCCCAGCTATGCTCAGAAACCTCCAGCCAATCAATCAGCTTATGGGCAGCCCCAACAGTCACCGAGTGCCCAAGGAGGCTATGTTCAGCCTGGATATACTCATTCTCAGCCCCCACCTGCTCAACCAGATTCTGGTGCCCAGCGGGCTCCACCTTCCGGTTATGCTACTGCAACGGCACAACCAGGGTATGGTGCACCACCTTATGGTACAGCTCCAGTGACTCAGCCAGGGTATGGGCAGCCACCATATAACAACAGCTCTTATGGAGGTGGTTATTCTCAGCCTCCAGCCTATACTGCTGATGGCAATGGAGGGGGAAATGCTCGTGGGACCTATGATGCAGCACCAACTTCTCAGGTTGTTCAGCCTAGTGGGGTTACCAAAGCTTCGCCCAAGAGTTGATGTGTGGTAAGTGATGAATTATTGGTGTTTATGTGTTACGCTTTTTAACTGGTTTTGTAGTTTGCATTAGTCCTGTACAATTTCTGGATGATTTTGAGTTCCCTGCAACAGATGTTAATTGTTTGTCTTGTTTGGATATACTTTGGCTGTTCTTAACGATCTCTCTTCTGCATTGCTTTATTTGAAGTTGGATGATATCATTGGTTCTTTTGCCTTTCCTGTGTTTAACCTTGTATGAGAATTCAAACAAAAGAATGATGACATCAAGTGGTTTGGAATTTTTTATCCAAATTGTTAAAATAAGGGGCAACTTCATTGGTTGAATAGCGCACTATGATGTGTTGGTATTTGCGCATACATTTTAAATCTAGTATGGCAACTTGGTCCTTGACACTTGTGACCAGATGGAATCAATCCGAGTCCCACAATTTGGAACATCCTCGTATGGTTCCACTTGTTTTGGCGTTACTTTGTTTCTATTGCTTCTTTTGGTGGGATGATTGACCTAGTTTAGTTAGAACTGCAGGATTCTCAAACACCAAACGAATTGAATGTAGGTGTCTGGTGGGTTGATTTGCCCAAAGTATGTTGTGGTGTCTGGTGGTTGATTTGCAAATTCACCCCTCTCATCATCTGACTATTTGGATTATGGCTTCTTACTGAATGGTGGGACATGCTTTTATCAAGTGAGGGGCTGCTAAGTCCCATCTCTAGCCAGGGTAGGCTCCTTGCCTGCCTTGTTCTTGGTAAGATTAGATCTCTTTCATTTTCTTTGAATGGGTGGTTGATATATGCTATTTGAGCTTGTAAGCAAGCACTTTATTTCAATGAAGCTGGAGATCTTTTCAATTCAATGAACCTGTGCCTTATTTTAATCTAATTTATTTTTTTCACAAAGCCTACACAAAGGAGATCATAGGATAAATCGTTTAGATTATAAGTAAAATTTGTGATTGTTTTAAGAACCCAATTATATTATACTATCTAATCCACTCTAGTGGAAAATTTTAATTAAACTATAAACTAATTTGTCTTTATTATCTCAAGGCGAATCATTTCCTTTCTTCCTCTTACCCTCGCACTTGCACCCCAATCAATTTACTTATCGACCGTGTGCTTGTTTGATTTATTGGAACGAGTTAAAATAGATTTGAAGTCAACATGTCTATTCTTTTGTTTGATTTATTAAAAAAAATTATGAAAAATGAATTGCAATTGAATTTATTTTAGTGAACCAAATAATATCTTACTATCAATAATAATAAAAAGTTTTTAATTGGAGAAATAATTAATGGATTCCCAAAATTATTTTTAAGGCAGGTATAATTGTTCATATCTTTGTGATTAAAATTATTTTATTTTTTGAATGATCAAGTCTATTTCAAAGCCACCATCCTCAATCAATTTGCTAAAGAGGTTCAAGGTCCTAGATGACCTTGTTCTATTTTACTTTGATCGATCAACCAATCATTTTATAGACGCTGGTTCCTGAACTTGGCTTGACTCGATCTAAACTCGAGCCTATATTTATATACCCGAGTTTAGCATAAAAAAAAATAAATTTGAAAAAAACTCCAAATCTTCACTGGCATGGCCTATATAGTTTAATAAATATAATTTTGTCACATTTTTTTAGATAGTATAATTTGTGACATATTAAAATAAAAATAATAATATTTTAATAATTTGTGTGCCGCTTTAATTTATTCGAACAACATCTCTACTGATTCAATGCACCAAATTTTGTTGGTGGGTTGCTAATAAATCAAGCGGAGCTTTGGGATATTCAAGCTTAGGTCACTAAAAATTAATCAAAATTATAAAATGGATTGAACTTGGCTTATCGATAACTTAAGTACGTAACAAATTTGAGTTTAACTTAACTTAACTCGATTACGTAAATAAGTTGAATTCGAACCTTAAAAGTAAAATCAAACCAAAATTAATATGTATATTACAAGAAAAGAAGAAGATAATTATAAGCAAAATATAAAAGAATGTTCGTATAATTGATAATTTCATCAATCAATTATGTTATTTTGCACAAACATTTAACGTAAACAATAAAATAAAATAATGTAAGAAAAGGGTGACTGTGATTTCAATATTATTCAGGGGGTTAGCATAATTTAACCATTTATTATAGAGGAAATTATATTTCAGTGCATGCTTTTAAAAAAAATAAAAATAAAAATAAAAATAAAAGTACAAATACAAATCAATAATAAATTTTTTCAACACCACTTAAATTTTTTTCCTTTATTATACAACTGTGAGAAAAGCACACAAAACCCTACTCTCTCTCTCTCTCCCTCTCTCGCATCACGAACAGAGATACAAGCATACCAAGGAGATTAAAAAACAAGGTTTTAAGCTCATCCCTATCATTTTTCTATGATAATCTATTCATATATATAGATGTATATGTATATCTACATTGGACTATGCATACGGGTAAAGCTTCGTTTGAGAAAAATCGTTTATGGTGTGGTGTGATCTGGGATAGTCTTCGTTTGATTGAGTCTATTAGGTTTATAGAGGTCTTCTTTGTGTTTGTATATATGCATATATAATAGATTTTCGTTTCTGGCTTCGGTATATATAAATTGTATGAATTTCAGTGTAGATTTTCATGTATTACACTCTGTTCTGCTAGAATTTTATGTATCTCAAAAGAGTTAAAAAGGGTGTTTTTATTTTTATTTTTTATTTATAAAATGGTTTGATCGATTAAAGATTGCTGGTTAACAAACAGTTTGTTTGGTGTTGAAATTTGTTGATTATTCTATGGAGGGCCAAGATTCTATAATTAAAATTAAAACCCACTCTAATCAACCCACAAAATGTCTTGTACACTATTTAACAAATATTTCAAATACATACTTGAAAGGCAGTGATAGGGTATCCCAATTTGAGTTTCATTCAATTTAACAGTCTATGTTTAGATTTGGAATTTGTTTGTGGATGGCATATCATATCTGATGTGTCTATGCCAAAGAATGGTATATGGTATACGTGTGAGTAGGGAATGGAAGTGCTTGTAGATGGTGGATGTAGTTTTGGGAAATGTGTTAGAGTTGTCGTGCTTAAAATGTTTAATTTGGTATGATAGGCGAGGAAATTATGGCGTCAAAGTTGAATCTATTGCAATCAAAGGCAGCTGAAGTCTCAAAGTTTGCGGTCAAGAATGGATGTACTTACTACAAGCAACTGTTGGAGCAGAACAAGCAATACATCCAGGATCCACCTACTGTGGAGAAATGCCAGAGTTTGGCAAATCAACTGTTTTACACGCGACTAGCCAGGTTGCCCCACTTACTCCAAATGACGATTCAATTTATCTGTTTTGACATTTTAAATTTTGAATTCTGTTACTTGAATTATCACATCAATTGGCGAGGTTCCTTTTTGGGGGGGCTGTGGATGTAGAATATAAAAGTCTCATGTCTTGTTAGTCCATAAGATTCCTGGTTTCACATATCTCCAAATATTGGGGAGCAAATTTTTTTGAATTGTCTAGCTACTTTCTGTGTGTTTATCTTGAAATTTTGCACATGCTAAATTGTCAAAGTTTGGGCTACTTTGTGCTTTGTCTTGTATTTCAAGCTTGAAGATTTTGTTTTCTAGAGTTTCGGTTGGATGACTTGTCTTGCTTGCACTCCTTGATAACTTTAAATTTTATAGCTAAGAAATACCAACACTTCAAAGAAGGTGGCATGTTTGCGTCCAACACCAACACTCACACTCACACTCACACTCATTAGACACTTCTTGACACATGTTGGACACACGTCCAAATGTGTCTTCTTGTTTTTATTTTTTATTTTTAGACCTAGACATGCTTCGAACACTTGGGAGAGACATATCAATTGTTTAGGCCACATGAAACACATTATAACTATGAATAAAATAATTTAGGATACAATTAGGGGTGTTCATGGGTCGAGTTGGCTCGGTTTTAGTCCTAAACCACCACTCGACTCGACCAGTTCGGGTTTCAGAAAATGGAACTCGAATTCGACCGTGAACTTGTTGAAGCCGACAAGGATTGTGTGTCTCTTTAATTCGGTTCGGGCAACAAATATCCAGCCCCAGTTTCCAGAGTCTTTCATCCTTTACCAAACACACCCTGAAGCATAAAGAAGACAGATTAAGGAACAAAAAGTTCCAGAGAGTGAGGGAGGTTGAGGGAGGGAGATGGGCAAAGGAGGTTGAGGATTGAGAAGAGCGGCCTTGGAAAGTGAAGGGAGATCGGAGAGGGAATGAAGGAGAAAGGGGTGGAAGTGGGATAGATATAAGGTTGATGAGAGAGAGAGAGAGAGAGGGGATAGATATCAATGCTCATTTTGAGCTCTTCAATCTTCATTTTATCAAGCATGATCACCATTTGTCCCAGTTAATCGCTGCTGATCACGGCCCATGTTGCTGTAGATTTTCTCTTTGAAACTCTCTATCACAGCTTCAAATTATTGTTTCACCATTTGCTTTCCTATTTGTGAATAAAGAGAAGGGTTGTCAAGAGAAAGAACAAATGCTATTTGTTTGATCTTGGAATTGGAAAAAGAAAATATGTTTGTGAAGAAAGAAAAAACCCCAACATGATTTGATAGATCTGATGATTCACGTGGGTTGTTTTCAACTATTTGTGATAAAACAATAAGGTGATAAATTTAAAAAGTCAAGAATTAATAAAAAGCTGCCAGCTATGTTTAGTGATAAGGTTGTAATATTGAATATGAATAGAATGAAGCCACGTATGTACTACATAAAGCTCGGTCGGATCGGTTTAGGCGGTTGCGTTTTCCTTCCATCCGTTCACCAACCGTAACATGGCGATTTTAAATTATTTGCAACCGTTGCCGACTGCATATGCTGATGAAGCCGACCGTGACACTCCGGTTCGGCTCGGTTTGGTCGAGTTGATTGGGCCAATCGGTTTTTTGAACACCCCTAGATACAATGATAAAAGAAAGACAATGTATAGTTTTATATCTATTGATTCTTCTTTCTTTAAACTTTAGGAATTAGTATTATGTTGCATATTTTTATTATTGTTAAATGAAATATTCACATATATGACATGCCATAATTATACTAAACTATGAATTTTGCACGTGTCCCTATATGTTGTGTCATATATTTTTTGAAAATTGTTAGTGTCACGTATCCATGTTCATATCATGTCGTGTGTCCGTGTCCGTATCCGTGTCCGTATCATGTTGCGCCGCGTGTCATTGCCTATGTTCATGTCCATGTTTCTTAGGTTAACATGGGTTGAGTTTACTTATGCATTTACAACATCAAAATTTGGGACCAAACTTAAAGAAACATAATGGTATGCTCAATTACATAACTTAGACTTGGACATTGGGATAGTGGAGATGAGAACTATCTATGGGGGTGTTTGGGAAGAAAAAAAATAGCCTAATTTAGGCTAAAATTCACAAAAAGACAAAATAGACTAAAATAGCTAAGACAAAATATCACATCAAACCCATAATCATTTCACTTTTTCTCTCACAAACATCACATCCAACCATAAAAAAATCCAATCATCTTCCCAAATACAAATTTTAGCCTACTAAAATAGCCAAAAACTAAAATAGCCTACTAAAATAGCAACTTTCCAAACGAAGCCTATGATACCTAGTTGAATAACCTATCAATTATGAGGTTGTCAGAAGCAAGAAGCACCACTTTTCTACATTTGGTGGTACTTGATCTGGGGATATTAAATTATTGATGCTATTCCAAGAAATTTTCAAACTCACATTCTCCGTAGGCTGCAAACGTGTCATAAATTTGCTAAGGCTATGAAGTTCACCAATTGACAAACAAGCTGGGTCATGACACTCATTATTCAAATGGCTCTTTTTTCTTTTTGTCCAATAAGATAATGGTTACTATGTACAGACTTGGTATGCTCCTGTTTGAAGATTAATAGGCTTTAGAGGTAAAGAGAAGATTGATAAGAGAAAATTATGGTGAGGATGCAAACACTAGTGTTTGGGTTTTCTGGTCTGTTTGTCTATGGAATTTACACTGAACTGATCATTGATGTGTATGGGATAATCGTGTGCTTCTGTGTCATTTTTTCGCTCAAATAAATAAAACAAAGAGGGGATTTTGAAAAATCTCGAGATTATCATTGATAAATGTTTTCTTGTCCACTGTTATTTTTGGTACAGTAACATGAATTCTTTGTTTAGTGTTCTCTTCTGAAGTGGAAACTGTTGATGTTTAATATTTTCTCCAGATTTGGATCCAAATCTCTTTGACGTCTTATATACCAGATCAATTTATATTTGCCAATAATCTTTTCTTTTGACAATGAATCAGTTAATTTATATCTATATTAATAAGAGTATCCTTCTACAAAACTGTAATTTGGATTTCAGAGTCTCCAGACTTTGAGGTGTTCGTATTCTTTTGGGTTCTACTTCATTTATTTCATTTGTCAATACCAATTCTGTTAATTACTTTAATTTCTTCTTTCTTGAACCTAGTTTTCCTCTTATATGGTATTGTGTTGAAACCCTGGTTTTTCATGCACTATTTTGTTGAAACTGGATCTTTTTCAACATTTCATAAAAGGTTGTGCCACATGAAATGATCTCTAAAAAAATAATGACACAAATGATAATGCAAAGCTGATTAATAGCTGACTGCTTACTTGGAACAGCATTCCTGGTCGTTACGAAGCATTATGGAAGGAACTTGATTGTGTCAAGCAACTGTTCAAGAACAGGCAGGAGCTGAAGACTGAGGATGCTGGTATCATTGCTCTTTTTGGGCTAGAGTGCTTTGCCTGGTTTTGTGCTGGTGAGATTGTAGGACGAGGGTTTACAATTACTGGTTACCATGTCTAAGTGGCTTGAGAAAATTTGCTTTAGGTGTTCAACTGCTGAGCTTCTCAAAATTGAATTTATTTCTTTCTATTCCTTTCTATTAGCTATTCAGTCATCGACCATGCCATATGAACTATTGTTTGAGAGCAACTTAGAAACTTGTAAGTAGCAAGTTTATTTGCATCAATAATCTAAAATTTTGGTCTTGCAGCATTTTTCTCCTTCCCTTTTACTGCTAAACTCATTAGTATTTGTTCTGCAAAACTGAGCATTGAATTGAAAGGTTGTTTGCAAATCTCTCTCTCTCTTCATATTTCTGTTATGTAATTACTTCCTTTTGCTCCATGTGGTAGGATCTGCTTTGTTAATTCCTCCATTTAGTGATGTCTATCCCAATAATTTAGATTAGGATGCTAGAGATATTGATGCTATTGCTTTATATAAACTTGGAAAGGAGAAGGAAGAGGTGTAACACTACTATGCACTCCGGCTCTTGCTTGCAACACCCCGGCTTTCCTGATACATGTCGCTTGTGGGTGATTGTAGGGATTTATGCTTAAAAAAAAATTAACACACAAATGTCGTGTGTACTGGGGACCGAGCGTAATTTTAAGGTCTTATGTGTTCAACTCTTGCTTGCAACACCTTGGCTGGCCTGATACTTGTATGCCGATATCTGGGCTTTAACCTTCATAGTAGATGGGATCATGGAAGGGTATATACATATTTCTCACTATATGCAAATAAATTAGTTATTGAATGAGCATTTTGATCATAAAATTGGTATGGATTTAACTCGTCTTATTTTTTTTTTGGTTCTCTTCCATAACAAAATGTTAATAAAATGTTGAGATTGACATTAAAAAATAAAATAAAATAAAATGTAGCACCTTTTAGGTAAAGGACAAAATAATGACTCGTAATCAAGACGAATAAATTGTAATTTGCCCTAGAATAAATTGTAATGCGAACAATCTCTTATGATGTTCCAAACACTCTTGGATGGATTTTAGACTTGATAATTTAGCCTTCCAATATGTGCAAAATGAAGAATCTGTTTAGTTTGGAGTTTTAGAAAGTAGTTTTTTGATGTTTAATTTGTATTTTTTGTTAGTTTTATGATTTTTTTTAAATATTTTAATATATATATATATATATATATTTTTACTTTTTAGATCAATTTAATCTAAATATATTTAAAAAGTAATATTAGTGAAGCAATCTTAAAAAAAATGCAAAAATGTATTAAAATTTTCTATGTAGTGAATGCTAATAAAAATTACAAATCTGATACATTTTTAGTATATTTATATTATGTTTGTTTGGGCGGAAAATATTTTTTGGAAAATATTTTTCATATTTTTTGATATTTGATACAATGAAAAATGAAAGTTAACGGAAAATATTGTTCATGATCAATGGAAAATAAACTTATTTAGATAGATTTACATTTAAAAGGCGAAAAATATTTTCTGAACAAAAATTTTATCAATATCACCACACTATCACCACTCTCACCTCCACCACCACACCACCATCACCATTGTCACTGCTACCATCACTCCACTACCATGTCACCATCTCCACCTCTATCTTTGTTCCACAACCACTACTAAAAAATTTTTAAAAAAAATTCTTTAAAAAATATTTTTTGAATTTTTTTTTCCTGTTCAAATAAACTGAGCGTTAGATTAAGTGTATTTAAAAAGAAAAAAAAATCATTGAGAGAAAAAATATATATATATATATTTTGAAAATTTCAAATCAAATATGAGCTTGGAATGAACTTTCTCACTGCAAATGGGCTTTAAAAAGGGGCTCAACAGTCCAAAACCGCCAAGTATGGGCTCTGCACTCGTTATGCTTTTTGGTAATTTCATAAGTTTACAGCATTTTTAGGGTTTTGGGAGAAGTCTATATATAAACACAGTTTATAAGCCTTCCCAAACCCACAACAACAAAGACGCAATCTTGGAGTTGACCGCTACTCTTCTTCTGTTGCTTCTGATTCACGAGACCTGATGGAGGATTTCTTCTCCAAACCAGTCTCGATCTCCACCACCACCACCACCACCACCACCACCAATCGTCCTTGCAATGTCAGATCAGACTACTCCGAAATCACTCTCTGGTAATCGAAACTATACAATCCAATACAATACGATACATTTATTCAATAGAGTTATATGTACTGTTGTGTTGTTAACTGGACTAAGTCTAATCTGTTTGATTTTTTGTTTGTTTTATAATCCTATAGGTCTTCTTTGGATGCGCCAAAATAATGATTTTGCTGGAACACCTCTGAATCTCTGAGCTTTCCTACTCAGATTTTGTTAAAATGCTAGAAGGTATTTAAAAAAAAATGGTTGCTTTGTGAGGATTCAGTAATTTTCAAATTCAAATTTTCATTTATTTTATCATACTCATACATGAAATAGTGAATCATAGTAAATGAAAGTGGAACTGAAAGAAAGATGTCTTTTTTAATTTAGGGTTAGGGTATATTAGTGATTGTGGATTGATAAAAGTTAATGATGGCTCTAAATACGAGTCAGCAGCTGGCACTGATCCAATAGTGACCTGACTGCCGCATGGAGCCAAGATTCATTTACCAGTTGAAGATCCATGAAATACTCACTCTTGTTTCATGATACAATAACATGGTTAAATTACTTCCTTTTTACACATTTTCCCTTTTATATCCTAACACAATCATGTTTGGATGATTTGGGTAAGTAAGAAAACAAAGAATGGATATTGGGTTGTGGTTATATTTTAATGGGCAATCTTGGTATTATCAAAAATAAATTATAAAATATTATTGCATTGTTCATTATGTATTGAGATTTTGAGCTTTTGATATTGGTTGATATATGATTTTATTGCTGATATCGCAACTAATTAGTTTGTTTCTAACCAAATTTCACTGCATTTGGTGAGAAATAAAACTTATAAATAGTAGGATTGTCTTCTCCATTTGTCATCATTTCTCACCTAACTTATAAATCAAACATGAGGAAAAAAGATGTTTTTCTCTTGAGTTCTTATGATCTCTATTTTCTATGTTGAATAAGCCAATGAGCAATGTAGAAGCTATCTTTTGAAGTTGACATTTTTTTCTTGTTTATTTGTTAGACATGGGCACTCAGTCAGACACGGGGGTTTTGTTTTCTCAATACAATAACAAGCCACCTTTTGCATGGTGCCTATAAAAATAGCTACTTATCACGATTGGAGGTGCTGCTTCTTCTATAGGGTTTCCTTCAAATTTAAAGTAGCAAAATTGCTTTACCTCGTTCTATTCAAGTGAGACTTTTGTGGATTTGCTTCTTAGAATTTTTTATTTTGGTTGATTACTTTATTCAACATCCATCTTGAGCTGAAATTGTTTGCTACTTTGTTTTCATCGCCGTATAGATTGGTCAATCCTTCTCAGTGGATGATGAGGACTCATCTTTGCAAAAACTTGGGGACTAAGTTTGTGTTTTGGTTCAATTTTTTTTTGCATTTTGTTCTAGAAAGTTTGTACACAACAAAAATAAATTCCTCTTTGATTTTGTTTTGAACATTCATCAGAACTAATTAGTTAGATGAACCCTCGTGAATATCACCCTTATTTAGGGGATCATGCTTTGATAACATATTTAAGCAACTTCTTGCAGTGATGAGCAGCTAACATGTAAGAAAGACCACTTTGTGTGGTTTCTTCAATGAAATATCGTTACGCTTGGCTTCTGAGCACTTTTTGTGAAGATTTTTGTCTACTGGATGGCATAAAATCCATTTTATTTGGTTACTTGTAATCCATAAACTGCCTGTGGTAAAATTGAATTAGCTTCTATCACCAGAGAGGTAGTGCAATTGGACTTGTCTAGTATTTGGAAGTGCAAGAACAAATTTCATCCTCCCCAATGGTTTGGTTGTTGAAGTTCATTCTTTGTGCTACCTATGTTGTGCTCTTTTAGATTTGAACATGGTGCTTTCTATAATCTTCCAAAATCAACGTCATTTATATTTGTTTTTGCAGATTGCAAACAGGGTTGGGTTGTGGGTGCAAAATCCGGGGACCCTGATGCATAGCACCGAGCTCACTGCTACTATTATCACTCCAGAGATGAGATGAAGAGCAAGCTGTTACTTTCCTAATTTGTGTTCCCCATATACATTGGAGACTGCTGGCTCATATGATTTCACGATTCTCCCCCAAAATAGCCTTCAAAATGAGTTGTACTTTGTATTAAGGCTGATGCAATAGCTAAATATGCAGTTCAACACACATTCTTAGGCCTCGTTTGGCAACCGGACTTTTTAGCTAAAAAGTCAAAAAGTTACTAAATTAGCCAAAAAGCCAACAACCCATACCAAAAAGTCAAAGATTCTCTTCTCTCTACTTTTTGCACATCTTTTCGTAAAAAGTCAAAAAGTCATCCCAAACATATTAGTTTTTTTTAGCTCATATTTTAGCCAAATAGTCAAAAAGTTATTAAATTAGCCTGTTCCCAAACGAGGCCTTAATATTAAAATAAGCGGCTGTTGATATCTAGAAAATTAGATTAATTAGTGTGGAAATTTCTATCATCAATTAAATGATTAATTTTTCATTTAGCTTTCTTCAAAGAAAGCAGAAACATAGTGATATGTGAAGTACATTTCAATTTTTTTTCCTTTTCTTTTATTGAGGCTTGATACAGATTTACTAAGGTTGTGTTTGGTTGTATTCTCAAAATATATTTCCACCTGTACATTTGTACTTCACGTTTGGATACAATTCTTAAATTGTAATTCTACCATACAATTCAAAATATATCTTCACTTTCCGTTTGACAGATTTCTCCCTTAGTTTTTTCACTTTTTTCACTGTAAAAAGCTTCTAATGGTACATACTCTATGTTTTTGATATTCTCCATTTCTAAAAAGCTTCATGTGAAAGAAATTTAAAATTGAATTTCTGAAGAGTTTCACCTGGAAAGAAATTTAAAGTTGAATTGTCTTTCTCTCTTTCAACGATCACAGTTTAAGATTCTTCACGAGTCTTTCTCTTTGTGAACTGAGACCACCAAATTTAAACAATGTTTGTGAGTCTTCTCTCCACCTAAAAAATAGCATTTACCAGTTTCCATAAATCAAGTGAGTTGCAGTTTAATCCAGTGAGTTGCAGTTGGTGCGTTGTGAAAGATTTACTCACTGAGCAACGAAACAACGACAAGACCGAGGTCAACTAAATCACAAATTTCTCTCAAATTTTAAATTACAACTCATTGATTTCTTCAAACATCTCCAAATTCATTTCCAATTTATGTGTGTCATGCCAAATTTGTGAAGCATATTCTTGAAACAAAAGCCTATCGAAGAAGCGCACATCTATCCATTGTACCCACTCCGTCGCCAGTGACAACTATTCCACTCCTACTACTCTGGTACGTATATCTTTCAATCGATTTGCTAGTCGTATATCCTTCAATCCTTCAAACGATCTGCTATGTAATAGCTGAGAAGTAGCAATGGTTCTGATCTGTCAAATCAGTCAATTGCCAAGACAACTGGCCGGTCGTCCCACTTGTCTTCCGGCCGGTCGATCGCCAGTTCAGCTCCCTTTTCTTTGAGTCGACTGCCACTTACCCTCTTTGATGCTTCTCTTCTTCTGCTCTCCTTCTGCTTATTGTCTATTGTGTACACTTCTTGCACAAACTTTTTGCATTCAATATTCTGTTTTTTCTTGTTGTATCTGTTTTTTTCAACACTGTTAACAACTTCAATTGATGAATTTTTTTTTAGCAATATTCTGCTTTTTCTTGTTGTATCTATTTTTCCCAACACCGTTAACAACTTCAATTGATGAACTTTTTTTCCTACCGAAACATAATTGGAGATGATTCTTGCATTTTTTTTTTAATATCCAATTCAGATTTATTTAGATATAAATTGTGTGCTGTTAGATGGATGACAACAATTCTGATGACAATCAGGACACAAGAATATGGAATTCCATAATTGAAATGAAGCTAATAAACATGTTGAGAGACGAGGTAGAAAAAAAATCAAACAGGCCGTAGTACTGTGTAGACAGTTAGGCATTAGAATCATTTTATATGGGTTTCGATACACACCAAAACAAGTGAGACAAAAATATCAGCGACTAAAAGCTGATTACCAAACCTTCAAGCGATTGTAGGCACAAACCGGTCTGGGATGGGATCCTATTGTAGGAACGGTTGTTGCACCTGATGAATTTTGGGATAAGGTATTGAATTAATCTGTACCATTTTCAATTTTTTTTGTAACATTTGATCACAAGTACGGAGCGCTGATTTTTAATATTTTCAATTGCTGTAGGCAACAAAAAATGTTAAGAAATTTAGGACAAAAGGATTTGAGTATTTTCAAGAAATGAACGAAATTATTGAAAACTGTTGTGCCACAGAGGCCTTGGCCCATGTATCCACACAAGGAGCCCCTGACTCTGATGAAGAGGATGAAATGCATAATAAATTTTGGTCGCTTAGAGCTGGTGGGAATAATGTTGCCGAATCTATTGCTGTTGACTTATTTGACAATGGGTACATAGAACTATTAAAGGGCAAAAGTCACAAGAGGGGCCCTACAAATAGCTAGATTGATAGTGGTCGTTCTAAAAGGTCATGGTCAAGTGGCTTTAATGATGTTTGCACAACTTTCACTACCTTTGTACAGGCAAAAACGGAACATTCCCGTGCCCAACCAATAGACACAGAGGTTGTAACTGCAGGTGGTGATGACTATTCCCTTGATGCATGTCAAGATGCTCTGTTAGAGCTTGAGGACATACCACCGGTCCAGTACATTAGAGCACTGACACTATTCAAAGACAAGGAATGACGGAGGTTTTTTATGCGTACTCCTGCCTACATGCGACTAGCTATGATCCTAGCTTTGCAGTGAAAGGAGAAGTTGTGGCTTGATCGAGCTTGCGGTTCTCTTTGTGGTTGTCCAACATGATTTGATGATGTCTATGTCGTTCTTATTAACTTTTTTTTTTTTTCACCTGATGACATGCTCTTTTTTATCCGTCTTTCTCTGTTTATTTCTATGTTTTTTAAAATTGTTTATATTTTACATTTAGATGTGATTTTATTCTTCTGCATTCTTTCATGTCTATTTTCTTATTTCTGCTTCAACTTTCAATTTTACACACAACATACAATATGAAAATGTAGTAATGACAATATGACTTAATATATTTTTTCTTCGCATGTATGTTTCCATCTAGTTTGATAAATGACTAAGGCTGACAAATTGTAGGCAGTATTGTCTTTAAGTTTCACCAATAATGGTAACAGTTAACATGTTAATCACTTTTTTTATTTATAATTATGCATTATTGTCATGTAGCCGAAACAATATGTCATCCGACATAAAAAATAATGCAATGGAGAGGTCCTTAGAGGAGGATGAGGTTATTAAAGATTTTTTGAACTTTTTGATGATTACTTTTATGAATGAGCATATGAATGCATCAACCAGTAGACCACCGCAGTGAACTTGTCCATTCAAAGGTGATGATTACATCTTCAATTTATTAAATGGCCATCCAGAAACAATGATGGACATCATGCGAATGGATACCAAAATATTCATTTTATTGAAAAACACCTTACTTCAAAATGACTTTGTTGAAACTGAACATATACATATCAGTGCCGAGGAATCGCTTGGCATTTTTTTGTACACTTTCGCACAAAATGATCGGCATATACTACTAGCCAATAGATTTCAATACTCCATTGAAACTATTTGTTAGCACATTAAAATCATTATGCGGGCACTGTGAAAGCTTGCATCAACGGTTATCAAACCACGTAACCAAGATGAGATACCGGCAAAAAATTTAAATGATAGGAGGTTTTTTCCTTGGTTCAAGTTATGACTACATGTTTGTCTTGAAAGTTTTCAATAACAATAATGAATTAATTTTTTTATTTTATTTATTTATAATGTTTTACAAGTAATATCTAGTTTGTTTCGCGTTTAATGTCAAACCAATATATTTCAAGTAGGATTATGTTTGTGCTATTGATGGCACATTGGTGGATGTGTGGGTCCCAGCCTCAAGACAAAATACATTCGTGGTCGCAAAGCTACGGTATCGCAAAATGTACTCGCAGCTTGCGACTTCGACATGTTATTCACATTTATCAATTCTGGATGAGAAGGTAGCGCCCACGACAATGCAATTTTAGTTGACTTAATTATAAGAGCTAATCTATATTTCTCACACCCACCCCATAGTGAATGTCACCAAATAGCACACTGTACTGTTTTAAATGTTGATTTTTGCGTACATGTATTTGACAGAGCATTGCCTACATTATTTACATGTAGGCAAGTATTAGTTAGTGGATGCTAGCTTAATGAACATGCCTAGATTTCTTGCCACATTTCATTCCCAACGCTATCACTTGCAAGAGTTTCATAGCCATCATTATTCTGGACTCAAGGAATTGTTTAACCATCGACATTCGTCATTACGCAATGTCATATAACATTTGGTGTTCTGAAGAAGCGTTTTTCAATATTGCGGTCCATGCCAAATTATTGTAGCAAACAAGTGCACACAAAAAATTATGAATGAACCATTCTAACATATTCCCAACAAAAATGTACGAATCCTCAAACCGGATTGACAATGCTACCCAAAATATTCAAAAACATGATAATAACAAAATTTATTTAATGTCAAACGTACTGTGCCATTCAAAAACTAAATAAACGTGAATTTAGACCCAAAAAAAACAACGATGCACCCATTTGGCACCTTTGGAAGATTGTTTCGATTGTCAACTGTCATAAACAAATGATCTTTTTAGGTCGTTCACAAATGACTTCACCATATCGGCTCACATCGTCTTGCAGCTCTCCTCTTCTATTGACTTGTCCACATCTAGGTGACGCACGAGTTGCTTCATAATGAGGCATACTATAATTCCACAATCAGCCATGTCAGAAATATTTTAGACATTAGTAAATACATTAAAATGAACCACATGCAATGTATGGAAACATCAATGACATTCATTACAAATAAACATAATTCACACTTACGAGTCAGCTTTTTGTTGCAGACAATAATCAACTACTAAAAGTTCCTTCACCAAATCTTATGTTTCAACTACGCCAACCTTCAGTCTCCGCCTTATGTAATCCTCAAAGTATCCCTTCTACGTTATTGTCAAATTTATATTATCAAGTAATTAGTATTGTTGTCAAATATAAAATACAAAGACCAGTGAAATTAACTAATTCACGTTTACTAACCAACAACCATGCTTTCCAGTAATGTTTGTCTTTTCTCCCACGTCTTGGTTTCATTGAGTTGTAATGCATCCAAAAAC